AGGTGGTTTTATACTCAGGTATTTGTAAAAGCTATCATGGGTTGCATGAAAATGGGGTTAACATTTTTGTACTTGTGTAAACTACATGTACGTGTGATTACAGCAATGGGCTGGCTGGCTTTTGGACCAACTTTAAAGGGACATGTTCACGAAAACACGTCATCTTAAAAAAGTGGCCCGTTTCTTGGCATAATACATGTATTCATATTGTGTAGCATTGATAACTATTCATAACGTGTGGTCACGCCAATAAATATTAAGGCCAAATGGCTACTCGAGTGGCTACTTGTACATGTAAATGTTCCTGGTGTTCCTTCACTAAAAAGAGTGTCTGGGGGTAGTAAAAGAGCTAATACTGGTAGAAAGAAGTGTTCTACAGATGCCTACTCCTGGTTCTTGGCCTGATTGCTCTGTCTAGACACATGTTATAACTATTAATTAATGATCTGTTGCACACCCAATTTAATGTTTACTTCCTCTACAGTGACGTGTGCATCTATTTCCGTGAAGTGTCCCTTTAAAATTATGTCATTCATAGTACATGTACATGTATTTCATCAAATGCAAGCACATGCACATTTTATAAACATTCAACTCTCTCTCTCTCTCTCCTTCTAACCTTTGAGTGACATATGATCCTAAAGCACAGGCAGCTGCTACCTGAGAGGCACGACTGATTTTAGACCCGTAAGCACCGCCCACTCTTTTAATGACTACTGTAACCCTAAATAAAATCATTTATTTATACAGATCATTATTGATCTAAAATAAATACTTGTTTTCTGGTATTCCAAGTATGCCAGCAACAGCAAATTGTCCTAACTGAGCCCACTGGTTTGAGCTGTAGACTGTATAACCATCATCCTCAGGTATTACAAATGCAGTCTTAACATTAAAACAAGAAGAGAGAGAGAGAAAGAGAGAAAGGAAGGATAGGAAAAGTAAGATAGAGTTAACTATATCTATTACTTGAGTCTCCATAGTGAAATGATACTGTGTATCACAATAAATGTCACCAGTAACAACGTGATCTGATCCTTTAATAGAACCTGAAAAAGTACATGATTACTTATCGTGTAGTGGGAAATTATGAAGAAAATTAAATTTGGCAAATTTGGCATTTCGATAGCCATTCGCCAAAATGAAATCCACCATTTTGAGCCATTATATGCAATTACGCATGCTCAATAGCATGTGGCCATTAATTCGCCAATCACCAAATTTTAGCAATTTGCCAAATTTACATCTAACTCAATCCAAAATTTCCCACTATACAGTATACATGTACATGTATTTAGGCTTTTACATACCATCAGCATCTCCAACAACAATATCTGGCTCTTTATCATAAAAGGATTTAGCATCAATAGCATCTTGTATGGTGAGTATCTGCTTCCCCTGACTCTGGTAGGTAAGAGTTACAGCTTTGGCCATTTTCAGTGCATGCTCTTGAGTATCAGCCAGTGCTAGTCCAACTGCTTGACCAGCATATTCTGATACATCAGTAGCAAATACCTACAGTACATATTGTACATAAAGGCGGACAAAGTACATACATGTAACTGCTGTATGGATACATGTAGCTAGTTCAATTTGTGGTCATTGTTTCGGAGGAATTAAATTTCATGATTCACAAAATTTCTATTAATATTTGATGCTAATAAAACTTAGTGGAATTAATTTTAGTGGATTTGAGCCAGCATAAAAATTGATTCAATGTGAAATAAACCAGCTACATAGTGTATTGGGATTGTACATGTACATGTACAATGTATGTGTACGTACAATCTCAGGGTCACCAGCTATTCCAAGCATAAAATCATTCTTTCCATTTTGAGGAATGTCTTTAGCAGACACTATTGCTACTGCACCTTCAACTGCCTTTAAAATAATAAAAATAATAAATGTTAAACGATTAGTACCATTGCTTCAGACGTTTCCATTGATAATATCTTTGCATTACCCTGTTGTTAAGTTAAATATATTATTTAATAACAGTGTTGACTGTATACTTGAGTAGTGAGTACAAATGCTGCAGCCAGTTCTCCAGGACGACGTGGAATATCAGTAGTATACTCTGCCTCACCTGAAGCCTAAAAGGACAGTACAGGAAAGGAATGAAAAATCCACACGCACACTATAACTCAATACATAACTTGGTAAACAGTACAAACACTTATATTTCAATATTATAACTACATCCATGTACATGTGTACATGTACATGGATAAAGTTATAGGCTGTGGTTATGATCAATAGTTTATGGTTATCTATAAACTAATGATTCTATGTACATGTAGTACATGTACAAGTTCAATTTCATTGTGCTACTGTACACGTACATGTACATGTACCTGTAGAGTAGCAGTCAGTTTGGGTAGTGGTTGATTCACAGGATACTTGCTGGAGTCAGTGCTGTATGACTGGGACCCTTGGGACACTGGACGAACATAAGGTACAGCTCCTGACTGGTAGAGTGGATTAATGTTAGCACTACCAAGAGCCTCAAGATAAAACTAAAATTAAAAAAGAGTCAAGAAAGATAATAAGTAACAGGCAAAACTATTTTTTAAGAAATACCCAGTACTATATACATGTACATGTAGTTCAGGGTCTTTGGCCCAATTTTTGAGCAACTTTAAAAATTCGTAAAAAATCCAATTTTGATCAGAATCAGCTCAAACTTTCTACGCAACATAAGTACATGTATATGTATCAAAAAAAAATTATTATAATGGAGAATTTTTTCCTTTTTATTTTTGACAAAATTTGACCTGTGACACTGTACTATAGTACAGGGACTTTTACCCAATTTTTGAGCAACTTTAAAAACTTGTAAAAAATCCAATTTAAGTTAGAATTAGCTCAAATTTTTTACACAACATAAATAAATGTATATGCATTAGAAAAAATTATTAAAATGGAGAATTCTCTCTTTTTTATTTTTGACAAATTTGACCCGTGACACTGTACTATAGTACAGGGACTTTGACCCGATTTTTGAGCAACTTTAAAAATTCATAAAAAATCCAATTTTGATCGGAATCAGTTCAAACTTTCTACGCAACATAAGTACATGTATATGCATCAGAAAAAATTATTAAAATGAAGAATTCTCTTTTTTTCATTTTTGACAAAATTTGACTCGTGGCCCTGTACTATAGTACAGGGATTTTGACACAATTTTTGAGAAACTTAAAAAATTTGTAAAAAATTCAATTTAAAATGGAATTAGCTCAAACTTTCTAAGCAACATAAGTACATGTACATGCATCAGAAAAAGGTAATAAAATGGAGAATTCTCTCTTTTTTATTTTTGACAAAATTTGACCCATGACAGGGACTTTGACCTGATTTTTGAATAACTTCAAAAATTTGTAAAAAAATCCAATTTTGATCAAAAACTTCAGAACAATATGAAAACACGTAAAACAAAATTAAAAAATGACAAACACCCTGTAGTATCAAGCAATGTACATGTACATTGTATTACATATTACTGTAAGATAAAGAAGTTACTGTACATGTACATGTACATACACATGTCCAATTGTCCATACCTTATAAAACAGGCTTAGAGCAAGGCTCTTCCTATACCCAGGACTAGCTGATACAGGAGGGGCATTAGGTCTGATCTCATTAGAAAGGTTCTTTAGGGCCCCCTTCAGTGTATTGAGATCCTTCAATGACTTACCAATCATGAATGACTCAGTTATTGGAGCTGATATCTAACAAAAAATAATAATCACATATAAAGCATTGATGATATGCAAACTCTATACTGTGTATTGCACTGAATTGCTTAAAATACTATAATCATGCACATGCAATCTCATATAGTGGGAAATTTTAGAGGGAGTAAAATTTTGCGAATCGCTAAATTTTGGGTGATTGGCGGATTTTAATTTGGCGAATTTGTGGCCACATGAGCATGCGTATAATGGCTCAAAATGGCAGGTTTTTATTTTGGCAAATGGCTATCAAAACACTAAATTTAATTCCCTCCAAAATTTCCCACTATACGGTATGCACTGATAACTGACATTGTAAATAAACACACTAACACTCACTACTTTTATAATATTTTTAATGGTATAATGTATGTGCATGGACAGTTGCTTACTGCATGTTCATTGATGCCTCCAAATACAAATGAAGGTAAAGATTTAACTAGCATATTGTCAGGATTAACTTCCATACTGAATGCAGCATTAACATAAGCATGAGCATTCTGGAATAGAGAGAGAGAGAGAGAGTGAGAGAGAGAATGTAATTATTATTACTGATCCTATTATACCTGTGAGCGAGGCATTATTTTTAATGTGGTGAATACAGTGTTGGGGCTGCAGTAAGGAATCTGTATAGACACAATTATCTATAAAATAAAAGGTAACTTTTAAAAAAGATAAAAATTAATCATGACATTTACTCTCTCTGTCATATCCAAACTCAAGAAATCGGACAAAGGATATTCACCAGTGCCACCATCATGAGCTGTATAGAAAAAAATGAACTATCGTAAATGTGGAATATTTTAAGGTCACTTTAATTATAAAATTAAAACAAGCAAAATGAAATACCACTTAATTTTTGTTAGTTATATTAATTTATAGTAGCTCAAGTGTAAACCATAAAATTAAAATCACGCAAAAAATTTAAAAATTAAATAATTAAAATATTCCAGTTCTACGGTATATTTTGTATGGTACATTTCTAATTCTAACCAATTGATAAAGTAGCACCAGCTGCTTTCATAATTGTGAATACGTCAGAAGGAAAGTTATCATTATTATGAGTGAGCATCAAGTTACCAGCCCAAGTGCCTATCTATAAAAAGAGAGACAGAGAGAAACAGAGACAAAGAGAAAGAGAGAGAAAGAGAGAAAGAGAGAGAGAGAGAAAGAGAGAGAGAGTGAAAGAGAGAGAGGGGGAAGCAAGTGAAAGAGAGAAAACACTAGAGAGTAATCTGCAATAGTTCTACTTACATTTCTGACTGGAACATTAGCAATCTGTAAGTACAATGAATAGTACACATTATACACTCTATTTTGTTATTAATTGTGTCAAGTACTTTTTTAAGATGATCAGCTAGAGGCTTGAAACTGATTGACTTGTCCTTATTGCTCAGCAAAATATCAATAAGTCCATTAATTGATATGCCAGCACCAATACTAATATAAGTGTCATGTACCTATAGAAAAGAAAGTATAAAAACATGTATATGTATACACTCACTTGCATAAAGTAAAGCTCCTTCATAGAATTTAATTCAATATAAACATTAATGTCACCTGTTTCCTTAAAAACACCTAAACAAAGGACATACATGTATCTTGGATGAATAATCAGAAAAAAATTGAAATCAGAATTCACTATAAAGCATAAAATAAAACATGCCCAAGACAATTATATTAAAAGTATACAGTTATGTACTGGCTGCTGTACTATTAACAGTGACAATAGTACAGTAATACATGCAGTAAGTGCATGTACAATGTACAGTAGGTGTTGTATTATAAGTCACTAACCTTTCCCAGTGTTCCCATTAACAAGCTTGACAGTTGAATTAAGATTAGCTTTATAAATGCTAAAAGCTTCAGAGAGTCCTGTGGGTTGATACCAGTGAGGGTCTGACTGGGCCCTTGACTGTGTGAACCAATCATCAGAGACAATAAGGAGAGGACATGGGGAGCATTTCACTGGAGAAAACTCCTATTTAATAATAATTTTAAAAATAATAATAATGTATGTACAAAAATAGGCTACATTTAAATAGGCATTCCACTTATTTTTTGCATACTTCAATATCAACGACTACTGGTTCATCTGAATCAACTGCAAAGGATTTCATTGCATCCAATATTGGACGATAACCTATTAATAATCAATTAGACTATGCATGCATTATAAATGTAATTGATTCTTACCTGTACAACGACAGATATTACCATCAAAATTGTCCTCAACAATCTGCTTTGTTGGTTCGGGAATCTTTTGAAGTAAACTAAAGAAAAACAGTAACTTTACATAAATACGACAACTCTTATATTCAAAAATAGAGCAATTAAAAGGAGCTACTTACCTGTACATGCTCATGACCATGCCAGGGGTGCAGTAACCACACTGGGTTCCATTGTACTCTGCAATCCTTTTCTGTATAGGATGAAACCCTTTCTTAGAGCTTAGAAAAAAAAAGGAAATTCAAAATACAAACTGCTTTCTGCAAGTGCCTCAAATTCACCAAATTAATTAATACAAGTTAATGCATAATGCTTGAAGTATGTACTATATAGCTAATGCTAACCTGCCAATTCCTTCAACCGTAGTAATAGACCAACCATTAATGGAATACAAAGGACACAAGCACTATAAATATTTCGCAGATAAATTCATAATTAATTAAATTAATTATTATCAATTAATTAGGTTAATTAACCACACCTATTTAGCACAATATTATTTTACAGGAAGAAGCTCAGGTTTAGCTCTTACTCACAGAGTTGATGGCTAGAGTAACCTGCTCGTTACTCAAGAGGTCCGTCTTAGTTGCAGAGACTACGCAACACCCGCAGCCTCCTTCACCGCACATTCTCTTGGTCCCAGAGAGCCTATACTGGGACCGTATCCACTCGTTTAGACTGGTATTAGGACTAGGATCATTCAGCTCCACTCTCCGTTCATTTAAAGTAAAACTAACAACTTTAAGAGGTAGGCTTGTCGACATTGCCAGAGCAGAGTACAGTGAGAAATGGAGCTCACAATCTCATGTGATCACGTGACCACCTGCAAAGATAATGAGCCACACCCTTGGGCCAACAGCTCACAATGACCTCTTGGATTATCTTTATTTTATTGGGTGCATTAATTTTTACTTCAGGTGCAAGTGGTAAAAAGAATGTCCTTTTCTTTGCAGTTGATGATTTGAGGCCACAACTTAATGCTTATGGAGTCGATTTCATCACAAGTCCCAACATCGATGCTCTAGCATCAAAATCAATGTTATTTGAGAGAGCATATTGTCAGATAGCAGTCTGCTCACCATCACGTGCTTCATTGCTTACAGGACGCAGGCCAGATACCAATCATGTGTGGCAAATTGCAGCTGATGAGTATTGGCGTACTGTGCCTGATGCTACTAATGCAACTACCATCCCTCAATACTTCAAGGAAAATGGGTATCTCTCTATTGGTATGGGAAAGATATTTCATCCAGGACCACCAAGTGGTTATGATGATTATAAGTATTCATGGAGCCCAGAAGGTCGACCTTATTTTCATGCAAAGGAAGATTCTTCAATTGCAAAGGGTGCAGCTTGGTATTCTTTTGATGAGCCTGATAACAAGCGTGTAGATGGCCAAATAGCTGATAATGCTGTGAATGTTCTTCAGCAGATAAAGAAGAACAGGACTGAAGGTGATGATCGACCTTTCTTTGTAGCTGTTGGCTTTCACAAGCCTCATCTCCCATTCTATTGCTCATCAAAATACTATGATCTCTATCCTTCAATTGAAGACACTAAACTACCAGAGAATCCTGATGTCCCTAAAGGAATGCCTGATGTTGCATTTACTATCTGGAAAGAATTAAAGGATTACAGTGACATTAAAGCAATAATCAATGAGACACTCTGTGATACTGATGCAGAGGCTTCCATTTATGGTAAGGAATGCCATGTACCAGACAATAAAATGAAAGAGCTTCGAAGAGCATATTATTCTTGTGTCAGTTTCACTGATGCACAGATAGGTAGAGTCATTAAGGAGCTGGATGCTCAAGGGTTTGCTGATGATACTATTATAATCTTATGGGGTGACCATGGGTGGCAATTAGGAGAACACAACCAATGGGGCAAGTGCACTAATTTTGAAGATGCTACACATGTGCCATTCCTTCTTCATGTACCTGGTGTAACTGATAATGGAATGACTACCAAAGCACTAGTTGAACTCATTGACATATTCCCTTCATTAACAGAGCTAGCTGGATTAGAAGTACCTCCAATGTGCACTAAGAATAGTCCCACATCAATTGCTTGTGTAGAAGGAAGCAGTGTTGTCCCTCTCTTATCAAATCCTAATGCACAATGGAAGAAAGGCTCTTTTTCACAATATCCAAGGCCATCCACACAAGGTCTGCCGGAGATACCAGGTAAACCTCCCTTTGATCCAAGTGAAAAACTCGAGAGTGTAATGGGCTACACTGTACGTACTGATAAATACCGTTTCACTGAGTGGTATAAGTTCAATCGCAACACTTCTACTCCTAATTTCAATGACATATGGGGTACTGAATTATATGATCACTCTTCACCCACCGTGTTCTTTAATGATGAAAATGTCAATCTTGCTACTGAGTCAGAAATGAAGCCAGTTGTAGATGAGTTGCGTCAATTGCTGCAGGCTGGCTGGAGAGAAGCTCTACCACCAACTAACTAGATCAATTTTTTGCTGTATTTTATAGCTAATTTTTGCAAATGGGCTAGCCCTTTGCTATTTCTTAAGATCCTACATTTAAGTTTTAGTTTTAGAAATTAATGCCTTTGTGACAATTATTATCAATTTTCGTATGAGTAGGTGTCTGATAGTGCAGCAGAGATGAAGATGGTCAGCTGTGATATGAGATTACTTCTAAGTCAGTCTAACTCTATTCTTTACCATAATGATTATAGCCTCCACTCTTCAGTCGAGCTTGCAAGAAATTCATGTGATCACGTGACCACCTGCAAAAATAATGAGCCACACCCTTGGGCTACAGCTCACAATGACCTCTTGGATTATCTGTATTTTATTGGGTGCAATCACTTTTACTTCTACTGCAAGTGGTAAAAAGAATGTCCTTTTCTTTGCAGTTGATGATCTGAGGCCAGAGATTAATGCTTATGGAGTCGATTTCATCAAAAGTCCCAACATCGATGCTCTAGCATCAAAATCAATGTTATTTGAAAGAGCATATTGTCAGATAGCAGTCTGCTCACCATCACGTGCTTCATTGCTTACAGGACGCAGGCCAGATACCAATCATGTGTGGCAAATTGCAGCTGATGAGTATTGGCGTACTGTGCCTGATGCTACTAATGCAACTACCATCCCTCAATACTTCAAGGAAAATGGGTATCTCTCTATTGGAATGGGAAAGATATTTCATCCAGGTGCTCCCAGTGGAAATGATGATCGTATGTACTCATGGAGTCCAGAAGGTCTGCCTTATTTTCATGGAAAAGAAGATTCTTCAATTGCAAAGCATGCAGCTTGGTATTCTTTTGATGAGCCTGATAACAAACGTGTAGATGGTCAAATAGCTGATAATGCTGTGAGCGTTCTTCAGCAGATAAAGAAGAACAGGACTGAAGGTGATGATCGACCTTTCTTTGTAGCTGTTGGCTTCCACAAGCCTCATCTTCCATTCTATTGCTCATCAAAATACTATGATCTCTATCCTTCAATTGAAGACACTAAACTACCAGAGAATCCTGATGCTCCTACAGGAATGCCTGACATTGCATTTAGTATCTGGAAAGAATTAAAGGGTTACAGTGACATTAAAGCAATAGTCAACGAAACACTGTGTGATATTGATGCTGATGCCTCCATTCATGGTAAAGAATGCCATGTACCAGACAATAAAATGAAAGAGCTTCGACGAGCTTATTACTCTTGTGTCAGTTTCACTGATGCACAGATAGGTAGGGTCATTAAGGAGCTGGATGCCCAAGGGTTTGCTGATGATACTATCATAGTCCTATGGGCTGATCACGGATGGCAGTTAGGCGAACACAACGAATGGTGCAAGCATACAAATTTTTG